ACTGCAATGGCAAAATTTCATTCTTTTTTATGGCTGAGTAATATTCCATTTTACACACACACACACACACACACACGTCACAACTTCTCTATCCATTCATCAATTGATGGTGGACATTTGGGCTCTTTCCATTATTTGGCTATTGTTGATAATGCTGCTATAAACATCAGGGTGCATGTGCCCCTTTGAATCAGTATTTTTGTATCCTTTGGGTAAATACCTGGTAGTGCAACTGCTGGATATTAGGGTAGTTTTATTTTTAACTTTTTGAGGAACCTCCATACTGTTTTCCAGAGTGGCTGCACCAGTTTGCATTCCCACCAACAGCACAAAAGGGTTCCCCTTTCTCCACATCCTCGACAATATCTGTTGCTTCCTATGTTGTTAATTTTAGCCATCTTTAAAGTACACTTGAAAAAAAATAATAAAGTACACTTGACCCTTGAATAACATGGGCTTGAACTATGCAGGTCCACTTATACGTGGATTTGTTCCCACACATACAGTGCAGTAATATAAATGTATTTATTCTTTCTTATGATTTCTTTAACACTCTCTTTTCTCTAGTTTACTTTATTGTAAGAATACAGTATATAATACACAAAATATGTGCTAATTGACTCTTTATGTTATTGGTAAGGCTTCCCTCAATGGTAGGGTGTGAGTAGTTAAATTTTGGGAGAGTCAAAATTTATATGTGGATTTGTGACTGCACATGGCAGGGTGGGGATAGGGGGACTGGTATGCCTAACCTCCACATTGTTCAAGGGTCAACTATAATTTTTTACTTGATTTCACATGGATCAAAATGTTCCAAGGAGGGAGTAAAGGAGGGAAGCACACAGTGTGATTTGTCCTCTCAAGGTTTGCCCTATGGGATTTTCTCTTCAATAAGTCAAAATGATATTTATTAATTTACAGTGTGTGTAGGGGGGGATATTTCCTTATCTAAAATGTGATATCATGGCCACCATTTGGGTACTCCAGTCCCAATAATAAGGTACCTGGGAAGCCAAAAATTTTATCAGATAGTTCCTTTGTGAACATGGAACGCAGGCATATTTTGCTAAGAAAAAAATGAGAACATTTTCAGAGTTGGCCTCCTTGAGTTGGGAGTGGGGAAAAAAGAGAGAAAGCCTTATATTTTTGAGGAATGGTCATTAAGAAATTCTTTAAAAGGCTACTTTATTGTTTATTATGTATGTGTATAATTATGATGAATCATTTACACGGTGATTTGTTAAGTTTATATAAATATCATAAAACATTTTGGGGCGCCTGGGTGGCTCAGTTGGTTAAGCGACTGCCTTTGGCTCAGGTCATGATCCCAGGACCCTGGGATCAAGTCCCGTGTCGGGCTTCCCCTGCTCTGCGGGGAGCCTACTTCTCCCTCTGCCTCTGCCTGCCACTCCCCTTGCTTGTGCTCTCTCTCTCTGTGTCAAATAAATAAATAAAATCTTTAAAAAAAATAAATATCATAAAACATTTTGAAATGGAAAGCTTATTTAAAACGTTATTATGTTCTAGTTTTTACATATGATTTAATTTCAAAATAATGGTGCGAAGATGAAAGAGGAGATAAGAAAACAGAATGTCTAAAACGTCTCCATTTTAATAAATTTTACTTTTTAGTATTGTTCTACAACCCCCAAACAAGGTCTACTGAGGGAGACTGTCAATCTAACACACAAGAACCTGCTAACATTTTTCAGATATGGAATATTCAAGAATAAAATAGTCTCAACAAATAATCTAAATTAAAGCTTCCTGACTGATAGTCAGGTCTTCCTAAGTCCCATACACCAGAATGTAGCCCCATAATTCCACTCATGTAGTAGCTCCAATCTACCAAGCAGAGCAAATTGTTGATTTGTGCTTAATAAGCCAAATATGCATAAATTATTTTCAATTACATAAAGCCAGGTGCTAAATTTAGATGCCACAGGAAAGTCATTACCCTTATCAGCCAGGATGATCAAGGGATAATGTAAGGTAACTGCAAAAATCCAGAAGGGTGAATTACTTCTCTAAATGAAAGAAAATTACTTTATCTATAAAATAACCTTTATGTATAACAAAAATATCCACAAGATATCTTACCCTGCTGTGAACCAGGACAATTAAGTAAGATAAATTAGGCAAGTGATAGGTAATCTACAAGATATCCCTTAGATGTGTTTCAGAAATTTAGAAAAGGACCTCAGAATTCTAACTTACAAATTAGTCTCCTGTTATAACCACCCTAGGGTTCTCTGTTGCCCCAATTCCATTATTAGAAAAAAAAAACAGAGTCAACTAACTTCAAATCCGCAGCTCAAGTCATTACATTGCTGGTGGTTATTGCCAATTATCACATGGCAAAGGAATAAAATCTTAAAGAAAGTACAACTATTAACATTTCTAGGTGGTTATTATCTCTTCTTCATTAAACAAAATGTATAATGGAATCATTTAAAGGGGTAGCACATAACATTGGATTTCAGCAAACAAAATGGACAAAGGCAAGCTTATGCTGGCACCCAAACTCCTGTGAGAGCTAATCCAAATGTGGATTTGTGGTAAGGCATAGCAAAGCTCTTGGCTTCACAAATTTAAGTCAGAATAGAGTAACTGAGCAGTTATGAAACTCAGCACACACTTTTCTTCTGGACCAAAAAGAACCAAACAAAGCTTAAAAACACCTCTGCTCCTTTCTGACCCATTTTGCTTAATTTACATGTAATATAGTGGCAGCACTCATGTGGAAATTTCAAGCATTTTGAACATACCACAGGTAAACTGATCATGCAGACAGACACACTGACCACAATATGGGGTTATGGCTATTCTCAACATACATGTGCGATAGAAATCTTGGTTTATTTCTGCAGACAAATCTCTTATTCTACAGATATGCGTTTGAAGAGTACATGGGAGTGGGTGGAATAGAGAAACTGGTGCAACTGGTCCATGTTTTAAGAAAATATGTCAAATGAAAAACTAAAAACAGAAAACAAGGAATGATTATTTAAAGGAATTTGCAAGAAGTGAAAAACTATTTCATACTACATTACACTGATCTGATTCTCAAGAATCTGATTTACCTATTATTTTCCAGGAACACAGTTGTACAAAGTGAAATATATACTTCTTTGGTAATGTGGACAAGAGCACCATCAAAATTCTGGTCAAATAAAATGGGGAACCAAAATATTATGCTGTAACACAGGGCTATAAGATCTACTTTAAATATACCCTGACCTGTTCTCCATGGACTAAAGAGGGTAAATTATGTCACTTGGTATTTATCAAGACTGATTCTCAAATGTTAATCCGGAAAATATATGCATCTATTAAATGGAAAGGCTACTCTGCAAAATAACACTTGTAATTTTTAAAAATCAGAAAATGACAAAATGTGAAGTTTAATGAGGCAATTTTTGTTGCCATATTTTCAAGAATACCTTTTCAGAAGCTGGATGAGATGAAGAGGTCTTGCAAAATTAAAAAAAAAAAAAAGTCCTGCAGAACCTCAGAATTATCTCCACCCTGGGGGGGGGGGGAGGCCTTGAAAAAAAGGAAAGAACAGCGCACATTTATCAGCATCTTAACAACATACATTGATTTGGCACCTATTTTATCCTCTCACCTCTGTGAGGTAGATACCATTTCACAGAAGAGGAAAAGCCATGCCATCTCCTCCATGAATCTTTACACAACCTTTCAGTTATTTGGTTCTAATTCTAATTTGCCTGATTTACTAGTTACTGGTTATAATTATAATTTGCCTGGTTTACTGGTTACTTCCCCCTAACCCGATCCTCTCCCCCCTCATCCAGGTTATGAGCAATTAATTCAAAGGCGGGGAAGTGAATCTTAATCGTCTTTGTACACTAGCATTCCATGTGGCACAGAGCAGGCGTTTATGGTTGAGTAAGTTAAAGAATTTGTCAAATGCCATTCAACGAGACATGAGGGTAGGACTAAAACGCAGGTTTTTGTGCTCTTCCCTCTTTCCGCTACATCACGCTGCCTAAATGAAGTCTGGCCCACCACTTCAAGGCCACCATACCAAACTGCAAATTGTCACGAAAAAGAGCCCTGCGTTCCCCAGTGTCCAAAAGTTTGAATGCCCCCGCCCCAGACGGGAGGTCTCAAAATTCTCTGGAGGCTTTCAACACTTGACCAAGGGACAGTTCTGGATTTGCAAATCAAATCACTGAAGGCAGGATGGATTAGGCGACCAGAGTTAAACTTCATTTGTTTCACGGGTTTGCTACAATCATGGCTTTGAAAGAAAGGGCAGCGCCAAACCCTCGAGAGGGAAACGAATTACGACGGTTACTCTGAAATAAGATCCCAAGGACTGAAAACGGGGTGACAAAGTAAAAGATGCTAAATTGGGAGAGGTCAGCAATTCTGAGACCTATCCCTCGCCCTCCCCCCACTCCGATCTGCCCCCCCCACCCCGCTTCCTAATCTCTCATTTGAAGCCCATCCCTCAGGATGTGACTGGGGCTCCTCCCTTTCTCCTCACCATCCTCCCCGCCCACACACACACACACACACACACACACACACCCCGCACTCCCCAGGATGGTGATTATCGATAGGGGATTTTGTGAAAAAAGTTAAGTCCACAACTGCGAACTGGCCCCTGTCACCAGCCTCAAAGCTACCTGTCGAGGACTAACACTCGTCATCAGCCCCCGCCCCCGTGGGAAGGCACCGGGCAGGTACTTTGCCCAAGAACCCGTCCTCTGCTTCTGATTGTTCCTCCGCCTCAGAAAGGACCCCTCCAACCTTTCCTCCTCCCACCCAAAGAGCAGCTGCTCGCCCGGTGAGACATTCTCAGGACTCAAGGAGGGCAACGGAAATGTGGTGGCGGGAGAAGAACCCCAGCCCCTCCGCCGGGGGTTTAGAATCGAGCGGCGGGTGGCGACGAGTAACTGTTTTCCCTCACCGCCTTTTAAGTGGCAGCGAGCACGGCCCCGGGGTGGGTGCGGGTGGCCGCAGCTTACCTGTGAGACCCCCTCCGCCTTCCTCACCGTAGCCCCGACGCCGCTGCAGCACGAAGTAGTCGTTGGACCTTTCCATCAGCCACAGCTTCAGCGCATTTTTCAGGAGCACTTCCTCAGGCTTTAGCCACATCGCGAACTTTGTGCCGCCCGGCAGCAGCGACCCAGATGCCCTCCTCACCTCCCCCTCCACCCGTCTATTTCCCTCTACTTCTCCTCCCACCAAATCTTCCTAAGGCTGCAGCGGCTTGGGTTCAGGTTTTCCACACTTCCCCCAACCCTCCCTTCTCTCCCACGTAGGCAGCGAGATTGCCAATTCCCTCCTACAGCTCTACCGCCCGACTGGGAAATAGTCCCGCTTCTTTGCCTCCTGGGAGTTGTAGTTTCCTACTCGTTTTTCTGTGCTCAAAGAACAGGAGCCAGGGACTACAATTTCCACAATCCACTGGGATGAGAACGGGGTGGGGGTGCTTTCAAAGCGCGTCCCGCCACCACTTAAGTGTATTTTGCCTATTTAAAGTTTAAAGCGGTTTTTTGTTCAAATAAGTGAGCCCCAGGTATAAATGTGTTGTTTCTTCTCATCCGTTTACAGCCGACGGTGGTAAACTGTAGAAAACAAAGTTTCTGGAATTTCGGAGTAACGAACGGCCCATTCTGGGAAGCTGCAGTAGCAGCATTGACATTTAATGAGCTCTTACTTTGTACTAAAGCGATTTCATATACATTATCTCACGTAATTCTCACAGAGGTCTTGCGAAGTGGATATTATTTCCCACTTTGCACATAAATAAACAAGAGCACAGACGGGTGAGGTGACTTACCCAAGGTCACGCGGTTAAGTGGAGTCTGATACAATTCCTTGTCTAATTCAAAATCTTCTTAGATTCAGTTTCTTTCTGCCCATACAGGAAGACTATAAAATCTCCAGAAGCCACAGGATTTTCTTCACGCCATGGGCGCCTCCCTCCCGCCACTGCCACCCCAATCTGTTTATTTAACTATTGCAATCAGCCACACAAAATGTCTTCTCCGACTTTCCTTTTCAGGATCTAAACAATTTATGAGCATTTTTTCCCTTTTATTGAACTTTTTAAGGAAAAAAAATCCCTTTCAGGGTGGCCTTCACCTCTTTGTACCCTTGGCATCTGCTTAAACACTAAGGTGAATGAGGTCAGTGATTTGTATGACCTCGCAGTGAGGACTTATTTGAGGGATGTTTTTATTTATTTCGATAACTGAGACCGCCAGAATTTAAAGACTGCACTGAACGCAAAAACGGTTTTGTTCGAGAAGACAGAGTTGGGGGGCAATGTACCAAAAAAAAAAAAAAAGGATCTCTTGGTATGCTCTTTTGAGAATAAAGCCTCAAGGCCATTTCGCTAAAAAAAAAAAAAATGGGGTGGGGTACAACCAGGAGCCAAAGAACTGTGCCTTGGAGGAGTGTCTCTGGCTTACACCTCGCAAGATGTGGGCCAGCTCAAGGGAGGCAGGCGTGTGCTACAAGCAGGGATTTTTTTTCTTGGGGATGAGAAAAGGGTCAATTTGGGATTCTCTACTGCTAAAAGGTGGTAAATAGTCCCAAGGCAGCTTTCTGGAGAAGATGGGAAGAGGCACTCTTCCCAGAGCCCAAACTGCAATGAATCTTTGGGGAAAGCCATCCCAATTTGGATGTATACTAAGGAAGAGAATTTCTCATGTTCCTGGTAAAAGATTGGTAAATGTAGCAGAGAGATGTAAGGTGCCCCTTTTACCTTTCCTTCTCCTTTTAATTTTCTTCCTCAATAAACCACATTCTTTCCCAATATCCTTAATGGTTACAACTGTGACAAGGGCTGTCCGGAACTGGATAGTTCCTCTGTATAATATTGATTTAATCTTTATTAATAAACTTGCACATTTTTACATCCTTACTTTATAGATGAACAGGAGTCTCAGAAAATTTAAATAACTTGCCTAAGATCACACAGCTAAATAAGTAGCAGAGTTGGGGTTTGAACCTAGATCTGTCTGACTACAAAACATGACACTATACTACCTATGCATATGGTTTGTAGATACCTCAAATTACGTGTCCAAAGCCAAACTTAATTCTCCAATATTTCCCCTGCCCAAAGTTATTTATCCTTCTAGGTTCTCATAGTTCAGAACACCACTGTTTACCAAGATGATCAAGCTAAGAACCTTGGAATAATCTTGAACTTCTTACTCTCACCACCTTCATTGCCTCACACACACACTCACACACTCATCTACTCACCTCTACTTTTTTTTCAAAAGTCCATCCCATCCTATTACTACTTCAGATTAGCCTCACATCACTTTCCGCCTACACTCTAATAGCATTTCACCTCATCTGTCTGCTTCCATTCTTGTTTTCTGGTTTATCCAAGCCACATATTTATGGACATAATGTTATACCATGCAGAGATAATACCTCATTTACCTAGCAGTCAATCTTTCAGCTGACTCAGCCTTCTAAATCATGGCCTAAGACACCTATATGAAAAGATACTAGAGGGGCACCTGGGTGGCTCAGTCAGTTAAGCGTCTGCCTTCGGCTCCAGTCAAGATCTCAGGGTCCTGGGATCGAGCCCCACATCGGGCTCTCTGCTCAGTGGACTGTCTGCTTCTCCCTCTGTGCTCTCCCCACACCTCTCTCAAATAAATAAATAAAATCTTAAAAAAAAGAAAGAAAGAAAAGGTACTTGAAAACCCTAAATAGCAATTCCAAACCCTATGCCATGGAAAAACTGAGGCTGTCCAAGATTCTACTGGATTCTTATTTGAAAGGAATTTCACAAGCTTAGTTGACACTTTACAGCCTGCGGCAGGTTTAGAAGGAGTAAGATTCAAAACAGGCGGAGCACTGCTGGAGGAGAACCATTTAAAGGTTTGCTGCTCAAAATCCGGACCCTGGTCCAGCAACATCTGTGTCACCCAGGAACTTGCTAGAAACTCAGAATCTCAGACCCCATCCCAGACCTGCTGAATCAGAATGTGCATTTTAACAAGATCCCTAGGTAATTTGTAGGCACATTAAAATTTTAGGTGCATTGATTTAAGCAAATTAGATATTTGAAAATCAAACTCTACAACAACTTGGGGGCGATTAATCATGTTTCCATTAAGACCTATATAGGCATCTTTTAAAAATAAGCCTTGTTAAAGATTTTTAGATGACTGAATTGCTTTTTAAAAAAGTTTGTATCAGGACATGCCCATTAAATTTTTCTAAGGCAGTGGTTGAGAACTGGGGTATTGATTGAAGGAGAAATTGCCACTATCCATGCTAAACCCTATTTATATATACTATTCTCTAACCACCAAAATCTAGGTATGTCCACAAGTATCTCACATTCATGATGTTTTTGGAGAAAAAAAGCTAGTGGGGAGTATTTTTCAATCTTTTCACCAAATTAGCTCTAAGGTAGAGGACAATGAATCTCTGGAGGTCAAAGTGTCCACTGTAATCAATTTCTTAAGCAGTATGTAAATATAAATTTTTATATTTTTTAATGTTTAAAAACATATTTAAAATTCACTCACTCTGAACAGAAGAGGCAATTATTTGTTACAGCCTAGGGTGATAAAATTTCTCCAGATGTTACAGAGCTTAATTAAAATACTTAGTAAATGAACAAAAACTAGATGGGGGTGGGGGAAAGGAATGTTCCTAGCATTCCAACTGTGTCTTTAAATGCCTGGGAACCATTATTATTATTTGTAATATAATACAAATTAACTTCTGCTAAACCTATAGATGAACTCTCTGAAAACCCCTCAAGTTGGAGACTCCTTGTACATATATTTCTCCTGCCACTGTTAAAGGAATCAGTTTATATTTTGATTATTATGTGAGAGTAATATAAAGTCTGTTGCTCAAATGATCTGTTCTCAAAAAAAGAAAATTCACAAGTGATATGGAATTCCTCTTTGTATATGCTGAAGAGAATTGAAAACATACATCTACACAAAGACTTGCACATATTCATAACAGCATTATCCATAGTGGAAAAAAGTGGGAAAAATCCAAGTGTTCATTAACTGATGGATAACGAAATGTGGGATATTCATACAATGGAATATCATTCATCAATGAAAAGGAATGAGGTAGGTGCTGATGCATGCCTCAAACATGAATGAGCCTTGAAAATATTATGCTACGTGGAAGAAAGCAGTCACAGAAGACCACACACATACTGCATGGTTCCATTTATATGAAATATCCAGAATAAGCAAATCTATAGAGATAAAAAGCAGATTGGTGGTTGCCTGAGTCTGGGAATGGAGCAAAAATTGACTGCAAATGGGTATGAGGGAACTTTTTGGAGTTAGAATGTTCTAAAACTGGATTGCCGTGACAGTTGCACAACTCTATACATTTGCTAAACATTGTGGAACTGTACATTTATAATGGGCAATTTTTTGGGTATGTTAATTACACTTCAATACAGATGTTGACAATTTTAAAAATTATAAATTCCACCCCAAAAAGAACCCCGCACAAAACAAGAAATAAGAATATAGGTCAAGTTTACTGTGTGGCATCACACACGTACACCTGGCATATTGCCTCATAAGACATATGTGTACCCTGGTTTGAAAATCATGGCTCTGAGGTGTCCCAAGCATATTTATTCCTCCCATGTTTGACAAGAGATATGCACTTAACTCATTAACAGCATCCCAGCAACCACATTGCCAAAGAGAAGGCTGAAGGAAAAGAAATTTTAAAGTAATAAAATGGTTTTATGTCTTGGGTAGTATAAAGATGGACTGGCATCAATGTGTTTTTCTAAGCTCATCAGTGGTCAAGCTCATTATTTACCTGACATTGAAAAATAATTCATGGTAGTTCAGTTATATTACAATGATAGCAATTCCTCTTTATGAAATGAAATGTATAAATATATATCCTAAAGTTTTAGTTTTTATTCATCAAATATATCAATGACCATTTATATCAACCATTTTTTCCCTCCCAAATCCAAGCATATGTGAAAAGTTAGTATAGGCTAACTGAACTAAACACCAGACAAAAACTTTTATTGGAATATTTTATTTACATTTTATATTTAAAGAGAATCAATACAAATCGGGAAATATTTACAGCATTTCAAATCAGTGTACAAGAATGCAATGGTTTTGTCCATTCTACATTTAGCAAACAAAAATACATGTCTGTTCAGCTTTTGCCTAAATTCTGCTGGAATTTGCACTGGAAACACAACTTTAAAACCAAGATAAGCCACACAGAACACAAATAAAGTGCATTTTTAAGTAGCTCTATTTTACTTTGGT